TGTGCCAGGCACACTTCGCTCCCAACTGAGCTTCTGGCCAATGCTGGTCTGCCATGGTCGCAGTTTGTCCCATCTCAATCGACACCACGTCCTGTACAGCACACTCGTCAATGAGATGGGCCTCTCAATGTCTTCTTTTTTGGGGCGCAGCAGGACCAATGTTGTGCGCACTTGATCAGGCAGCCGGCCTTCCAATTCCCACTTCCTGTACATGTTGCACAGAGCAGTGACCCCTTCAATGGGCAGGGCTTTCAACAAGGCATAGCTGACTCCATCTGGTCCTGAAGCTTTTTGAGGGAGTTTGCTGAGTTGTTTCATCACCTTGTGGGGATCAAGATCTTCCCATTGCCGGGCTTGCACAATGCCTTCATATCTCAACCGCTCTCTCTCCCCATTTGGTTTGGGCTTGTCAACAACCTGCCACATTCCAAACCATTGTGTTTCCCTCATCTGCTGTCTCTGCTGCACAGGCACTTTGCGAAAAGGTCTGACGTGAACCGCATCTGGGGCCTTCAAACACTTGTAGATGCCACTGTGCCCCCTGAGGGTTGCTTGAGACAGCCAGTTCTGGTATTCATCAGCTTGCCGGTTGAATGCCAGTTTTTTGAGCTTGCTCTTTGTTGCAATCCGCACCTTGTATCAACAGGGTTATTGGGGCATCTCCCCCATTGATGAGCTCTTGCAGGCCTGCTTGGAAATCTTCAAACCCATGGATGTCCTGCCATCTGCTGGTGAGGTCAGCTGCTTTGGCTCTCAGATGAGCCATGGCTCCCACACCGATGCTTCCTCTCTGGGCCACATGTTGCAGCAGGGAGCTCATCTGCCCCCAGTAGGCTAAGTCACCCCTTCTCCACGGTGTCAGCGGCTTTGTCTTGGCAAGCGGCTTGATTTCCAAGGCCAGATACCATCCCCTGCCATACTTTGGCTGATGCAATTGTTGTAAAGCAAACTGTTCAGCCTGGTGGCAAAACTCTGCACATTGGATCTCTTTGGGACCCACTGGCCTACCCAGCCAGAAAGGCTTTGGGGCCGGCTCGAAGTGATCCCAAGGCTTTTCAGCCTCTTCCATTCTGGGCACCGGGGAAAACTGTGTCAATTGTTGCAAGGCCAGTCTAGGTGCTTCTTGCGCCACATGTACCATCAATCCAGCATGTGGTTTCCATGGTACATCCCAGTTGACTTTGAGGTCCAGATACGGTGCAATGGCCCTACTTGCAACAATGTAATCAATTTCAGCTCCATTGATCATGGTCGGTTGGCCACTGCTCACCACTTCCGCTTTCAGGACATTCAACAAGTTGTGTCCATCCCACTGTGCAGGCGGGACTTGAAAGTCCCCAATCAGGAGCCATGGTATAGCAAGCTCCTGAACCAAGGCTGCCACCTGTCCCAGCACTCTTTGCATTGGCCACCGAATTCAGGTCCTCCCCACACTTGAGGTACACTGAAATGACACATAGTTCCCAGTCCTGCCGTTGGACCACATTGGCCAAATATCCATTTCCTTCATGGTCATAGTGGTGCAGCTTGTAGGCCGTCTGCCCTTCCCTGCAGCAAAAGGCTTGTCCACCACTTGTGCCTCCTCTGCCCGTCTCATATGCAGTCAGGAAGGTGGGCATCCATCTAGACCTACACAGGTCACTCATGGCAGCCTCCAGCTTAGGGCCTGCTATGTGTGTCTCCACCAGCAGCGCAATCTGCAGGTCTTGCTGGATGAGCCATTGGAAGACCTCTTTGTTCCATTGAGTGATGTTGCTAAAGAACAATTGCACCTCATCTTGCAGGATCTTCGGTCTCTTCAGCGGTGGTTGTATAGTACCAATGGGATTGGACCAGAAATCCGAGGGTTCAGCTTTTGAGGCCCACACCATCACTGTGCCTTCTTGGATAATGCTCGGAATTTCTTTCACCGCTCTTGGACACTCACCATCATCTGCGATCCAAACCGCTTGCCCTTCCACCAACATGGTGATGTAGTGACCACTGATGAGCTCCATTCCTTGATGTGCAATGACACCTCTCAACACAAAATTTGCAGGAGCTGCATGGCCAGTCGACGTCATCTGCGGGCACTGAAACATTGGCGGTGTGATCAACTTGTGATTGTGCTTGGTCCAAACCCTATCAATCACTGAATACCGCCCAATGTGAAACACAACATGCTGTACTTCTTGCCCCAGGCATTGTCCACTCGCTTCATTGGCCCACATCGACAGCAGGGTCGACAGTTGCACATCCTCCCCTAAGTCAGGAGGCATTCTGACAAAGATGGGTATGGTGTCAAACTCATGATTTCTGCCACCAAAATTTGACACCCAATTTCCTTGTAGGCCCGTCTGCTGCCAGAGCTCCCACATCAGGACCAAAAACTCCGAGGCATCATGTTGCTGTTGCGGCCTTTCCAACCTTGCTATGATAGGTTGCATCTCTGAGGCCCAAAAGATATCATCAATCTCGTCCTGCTGCAGAAGCTGCATACACAGCTTGGTGGACTGTCCCCAAAACTCTGCTGGATTCTTGTGATGTGCACCCATCCAGCACCACATCCTCATCACCGAGTTTGCATAGCAGCGATTGCCTTTATTGTGGATGCACAGTGTGAGATTTGCCGCCAGCAGCTCAATCGCCGGCGGGATCTTGGGGTCCGCCTCCACTGGCCTGCATAACATCAAGTTACTCTGCAGTGCCATCCTCATGCGGAGCACATGTTTCAAGGCCTCCAAGCCCCACACCCTGGTCTCCACTTGCCCAAATTCAATGTCGTCTGCACACTGTATGGGCAAGGCCTGAATTGCTTCCATTGCTCTCTCCTGTAGGACAACTAGCCTGTCCTTCAAATGTCCTGGTGCAGTTCTCTCCGCATACTGATCTTCATCCTCAAGGATCTCATCTTCTCCACTGACTTTTGCTCGTTTGCCCCCACCAAGGAGAGAGCATTGGTACCCATTGCCTGTGGGTCCCGAAAAGGGCCTGGTTTGGGATCCACAGAGTGGGCTGCTGGAACAGCCCACTGGATACCCAATTTGTTCATTTGGCAGGTGAAGGATTGGGGCTTCCAGGGTCCTTTCAAAAGCAGGTCCAGGCGAGCCTGGCCGCTCTGAGATAGAAGAGCACAGTGCCCCTTCTGCCCCTTCCCCCGCCTCTTTGCCCTTGATTCACCTCTCATGTTTGGGGCATCCTCAAGAGAGTGCTTGCCATTGGTGCAGGCTTTCATGCCACGGCTATCCCTCAACATCTTCGAACTGAAGGCTCCGTTCACGTCTGCCTGCTGATCACTTTGTTGCATCAAGACCACCATCTCTGTTTGGCCTTGATCCAACCTTCCACTTTGAGCACTGGTGAGGCAGGTCCCGTCTGAAGCAGTCTCTACAAGCTGCTCTGACATAGAAGAACACGGTGCCTGCTCACTAGTGCCCTCATCCTCAGTGTGTTCTGAGGATCCACTTTGCTTCCATGGCTTGCCATCAGCGCCCATGTTTCCCCACCGAGCGCGACAAGCTAGCTCAAAAACTTGTGAATTCAGCCTGTCAACCCCTAATTGTATGTCATGGCTGCCAGCCCCTTGCGGATTGACAGGGATATCAAACTGCTCTTCCAAACCCACATACGGCTGCCAACCTTGAACACAGGCATCATCCAAGCAGGATTGTCCACATCTCCAATTGACATGCTCATGTCGTTCATCTCCCCATGAAGCTTGCATGTCATCCCAAGCATGCCACACTTGCAAACACTCCCATTGGTTTGGCTCGTCAACCCCTATCGCAGCCTGAGCATGTAGCAATGACCCCAGCTCAACTTGCTGCATGACTTCAGACCTTTTCATCGCCTCCTCAACAGTCTGCTCACATCCCTGCTCAGGGTTACCCTAAGGACGGGATCTCAGATTTCTTGCGGCGCTTTAGCTTGTTCTCAGCCAGGTGCCACTCCAAATCTGACTTTTGGGTGTTTGTGTACAAAATGCCAACTTGTGCCAAAGCTTTGAGCACGTGATCATTCATGTCACCATCAACTTCACCCGTCTCATTGGTGGTGTCTTCGACATTCTCTTCTTTCAGGATCTTGGCATAGGCCTCAGATTGTGCAGTCAACTGTTGCTGCTCTTTGTCAATCAGTTCCTGCACCAGCTTCAGTTCGTCAAGCAGGATCTTGTACTGGTCTTTGGCCGTGTCCACCTTCTTCTGGAGGCCAGCCTTTTTGTTTGATAGCTGCCTGAGCTCCCCAACTGTGGCCTTGAGCTTTGTGGTCACATCTTTGGGCTCTTGCTTGGCTGGTGCAACCAAGTTCTCAACTGCTTCTCGGACTTCTTTGGGCAGGGCCTCCAAGTGGGCTTGCAAGATCACCTCCAATGGCTGCAGTTCTGGCTCCGGCGTGTAGTCGATGCCAACCGATTGCAGAGCCTTCTTCACATCATCATTCAAGGTGGTCCAGCTTTTCTTCAACAGGTCATCCACGGGGTTCTTGGCAACCTTTTTGTCTCGAGCTCCCAGTCCTGGCGGCCTGTCAACCAGCACCACTTTGTCTCTTTTGGTGCGTGCCTGTCGGCGGGGGTTGTTCCTCCAAGGCATACTCCACGTGGTCTGCGGCCAGGGTGTATGGCATTTGTCACATTGCCACCTGGAGTCCGAAACACGGTCAGTCCAGATCCAGGAAGCTTCACAGCCACCACACACCATGTAGGATCGCTTGCCCTTGCGTCTTGCCCACTGCCAACCATCCCAGCCATGCTTCTCCATGATGTTGATCAGGTGGTAGGGCTCTGCTGTCTCGTATCACGGGCAAAGGCACTGGCACCAGCCTAATTGGACAGGACAAAGACCTCGTCAGTGTCGTTGCTCCAGTGCCCTCCGTGACCTCAAGGTAGGACGCACCAGCTTGAGCCTCCTGAACCTTGAGCCGATATCTTGAGCCACTCTCTCTCTCTCTCTCTCTCCTTCTTTCTCTCTCTTGCGCTCCCTCTAGTCACTCCTCTTCCACTAAAGCTGGCTGAAAGTATCAATTCAGATCTTGAAGGGATGGCCCAAAGTCAATTGTTTGAGCCCAAGCATCGTCATCGGTCCTCCACAACGCTTTGTTCTTGTAAAGTCCTCTGGGCAAAGCTGTCGAATCACTCTACATTCACCTATTTCTTCAGGCACTTTCTGATAAATGACTGACCAGATGTTGCATAAACAAAAACACCACCCAACACTACCCAACCATATAGAAATAAAATGAAAAACAAAACAACGTGTCATATCGTACCATGATGTATACACGGCCCACTGACATGACATGTGGTCCGCTTGCATCCAGGCTTCCAGGGCAAGATTGCACACCACCCTTGCAAGGGCACCGTAAATACCAAAGGCGACAGTGGCACGAGAGGCACCCAAACCCACCAGCGCATTGAGGATGCCTGTGGGAAAAGCGCTCCAAGAAGCCGGCGGTTTCAGTTTGAGACTGCTGCTTGCTTCCCAATGCTGGAGGGACACTTACTTGAGTCAGCATGTGACATGCTGGCCTGCAGCATCCAAGTAGCTGAAAACAAATCCAACACCCAAATAGAATAGAAGGCAATCGTAAGCGAAACTCACCGACATCAGCTGAGACCTGAGACTTGGGTGCCAAAGGAGTGCACTTCTGGTCATTAGATGTCATGATGCTGGGGCCACTCATGTGTTGGACGATGACCTGAATGGCGACTTGTGGAAACAAACTTCCGCTATCGCTACCTGACACAACACAACCGGTCCCTTGATCTGAATGGACATTGAGGATGTGTCCGCATGTTCCCCATCAACGCTGCATGAACTTGCATGGTCCTCCATTTGAGAAAAGAAGTCTTTGTTTTGGGATGACGTAATCCATAACCAAACTGTGAGCGGTGAAACTCGATGAAACTCGTGCCAGGAAGCCCAAGACTGTCTGTGTTGTCTGTGTCGATGGTGGTCTTGGACCGGTGCAAAATACGACCATTCTCCCAAAATGCAAACGCCATGAGAACTCCGCATCCCACTGTGCATGTCAGCATGTACCTGATGTGAGGGAAGTAGGAGCACAAGTTGAACCAATCATAACTGGCAGAATTGCAACAAGGGGATGAAACACAATTGTTGAATTGAGTCAGAGGTTCAGGTAGTAGGCATACACAAAGTCTTTGAAGTGGGCCTGGCAGGACCAAACAAGCCGAGCGTAAGAGGTCATGAGATTTGTGTGGCTCAGTTCTGCTCGACACTCCAGGTACACACCATGCTGACCACGGTATTCGTCACGGCCTTGAGCAGCAAGAACACTGCTGATTGGATCGTTGCGCCCAATGATGTGCTCACCTCAAAGGATTGCCAACCAAATCCCCGTCTTCAAATGTGGGAATGCCTCTTGCAGTGCTGGTCCAACTGACGTGCTAAAGGTATAAATGGCACATTATACATTATAGCCATTATCGCCGTATAGCGGATTCATGGCGTGGCATTCTGTGCTATTCATGCCGGGGTGGCGTCCGAATCGGACACCAGGAGTCGGTCGCCAGATCCCGAGATGATCGCGAAGCCGCAAAACTGCGGTCACCAACCCGAATCGGTCACCACGGGAGGAAGGACAGCCGCCACAAAAATCGATCCAAACCGGCGAAGTCAAGCAAAGACCCCAAAGAGGTGAAGCCTCAAGCCAAACCCAAAACACCCCCAAAGAGCAAGAGGGCGGGTGTGCTTGGGAGAGCAGACACTAGCTCAAAACCTTTAGAAAACACTGTAAATACCGTGCAAATTTTCAAAAACTGCTCTGGGACCTAGGCGAAACGCATATGTTTCAACCTTCCTGTGCCCAGTCTGGCTGTGCAATGTCAATTACAACAATTATATAACAGCTCTTTGTCTGCTTACTATCAATGTGTAACACCAATGACGAGTAGGTTGATCTTTCTCTGCGCGCAATGAATGTAGCATCATGAGTGATCATGAGTGAATATAAATATACAGTATAGTATATAATACTATATATATATACACATCAAGATGAACATGTATGTCAATGATATTGCTTTAGTCTCTTGCTTATGTTTTTGGTTTTTGGTGTTGTAGTATTTCCTCAAAACTGTTATAGGCCTGGCCCTCACAAAATTGATCTAACAATAGCTGAAAATCTAGGTTTTGGTATGTTTGGGTGATGTTTTTTAGCATGTTTTAGCCGAAAATAATTGTAAACCACAATGTATAGGCCTGATCCTCACAAGATTGAACTAAAAATAGCTCAAAACCTTGGTGTTGGTGATGTTTTAGCCAAAAATCACTGTAAAACACGGTGTGTTTGCTTTTTTTTTGCATGAAGAACATCTCCCAGGAGCACCCGTTTTGAAAAGAACCCCCTAAAGACGTCAAAGCCAAGCCCAAAGAAAGCCTAAAGAAGTGAAGCCCAACCCCAAGACACACACGGTAAGCCCTGTGGCAGGGTAACTGGTCGTTGATTCGTGGTCTAGCTGATCGCTGATCCGCGAAAACTGGTCGCTGATTCGCGGAAAATGATCGCCACTTCGTAGTCGCTGATTCGTGGTCGCTGATTCGGATCACTGTGATCGCTGATTCAAAGTTGTCTCAGTCATGGCGTGTGCCAGACCTGCAGCCCTTGCCATCCCTGCCCCTCCCTGGCCTGCACGGCAGCGGATACCGCTCCGAGGTATTGCACTGGGAAAGCTTCAAGCGGAGCAAAGGTGGCGATTACTTGAAAGAAGGACAGGGCCATGCCAAAAATGAGGTAGCAAATCTTCAGGCCTGAAGGAAGCAAAGCACGCATTCTGATGCATTCTCTTGTCACAGGTTTGGCAAAGCGACAATGTCATCCAATATGTCCAAATCATAGATCTACTTTGGCGGCTGCATTCGCCCCCTTCCAGCACAACTGTGTAATATACTTTGACTCTGACAAGGTTTCCCGTCTGCAGTGCTACTGCCTATAAGAACGTCGACAGAACCAACGAGCCATGACCAATTCAGCAGCAGTAGAATTGGCAAAGCACCTGCGGCCGCGCCCACTAAGAAAGCTTCTGACAGTCCAAACGTGCCAATGTTGTTTCAATGACGTGCTGAGTCTGATTGTGCCTACACAGGTTCCGATGACCATTGCTTTGGTCGCTCCCAGCTTGTCATACAAAAGGCCAGGAACAAATGACAAAGCGCAGGCTCCGTAGTTGAGCATGTCCTCAAGTCACAAATGATGTGTGCTGGAACGAATGGTAGGTCGTCGGAAATGCCCACCTTGTGAGAAATGCAACTTCTTCCGAGAAGCAAACAGCTCGTCTGCAGCAGATCGGTTCAATCCATAATATGGGGCCAGTTCATCGACAACGACAGCAAACACATAGACGACCCCATACCTAGAACGAAGAATGCCAATGGTGGCTCCGCACTTTGGGCAAAAGTCATTGGGGTGTAGACGTAGGTAGCTTTGAGTCTCTCCAAGTGTCACATGTTATATAGTACTCAAAGAGTATGGGTATGGTGCTGTCTCTTTTGGACAATGATGACGGCTTTCCAACAACAGAAAACGCCAGGCTGCTGCACAACTCCCAGCAAACAGGCCATGAGCAAAGTGCCTGGCAGCACCGTACCGACAAGTTATGCAGCCTCATCCCACAAGAACCCGGCTTGGGTATTCAATTTTGGGTAGGCCATTGGAGGCCTGCTTGTGCAATTGACTGTGTGCGGGAAAAACCGGGTGCCCAGCCCATTGTACTACCCATCGTGGCCAGTACTAGGAGCAGTCCTTGTAGCAACTATACTAGAATGGAGGACTAATAACATCAATAGCAACAGGCTGACCCAGGGGTGTGGTTTCGGAGTTTGGGGGGCACCGCTACCATCGCCCTGCCTCTGTGAACTGTGTTTTTGGGAAGTCCAAGGTATTTGCTGAAGGAATGCTCCAGCAAGGGCTCTCCCATAGTAGCTTCCATGGCGGATGTTCCGTCTTCGGCCCAGTGAATCTCGATGGATGTCTAGCCATGTGAGCCACGGTCAAACTCTAGTACTGTACTCAATCACCCGCAATCACAGGACATCAGGATTTTGTGAGTCTTTTATCATCCTCGTTGTTTTCAGGTTTTGTAGATCTAGTTTATCGCTGCGGATCACGTTTTTGGGGCAAAAGCTGCCTTTGGAGATCCCACGTCCATCTCTTTTCTTGTGTAGTCTTCGAATCTTTGCCTCATGTCTAGCTCGTCCAAGCTGAGGCTTGGCTCCGTGATGCTGCACAAGTCTTTCGGCCAAATATACCAAATCTCGGAGGCGCCCACTGCATGAGATCTTGGGATATCTTGGGGGTGGCCCAGATTGGCAAAGGTTGGCCCGACAGGCACCCAAACAAGCAAATCTAGTAAGGGTGCAACTTCAAAACACAGTCAAGGGCCCTCTGCACTACTCGTGCTGTGGAGCGATCACCGCATACGAGTAGCAAGCTAGCAACATGTCAAGAGACCACTTTTTGTCAAACCCACCAACGGGGAAGCGGAAACGATCCAGTCTGCTGCTCTTCTATCACTTGTTCCCGCCGCGCTTTCAACGGATGGTCCTGAGGTGCAAAGCTTGTGGCGTTCAACATGTGCAACTGCCACTTCCACAAAGATCACGACAAGGCAAAAGTTTGCTTTACACCAAAATGATTACGCTCGAACGAACATGAACTTTGAGTGTTTTTAACATGGAAGCTTCCCAGAAGGTCACATTGAATGGAAGCGGGATGGAAGCGGGCCAGGTTCAGAGATGCAGAAGACTCATGGTCAGTTCTACAAACTCCGGACGCCAAACTTGTCTCCCAAGAGGTGCATGTCAAAAATCCAAGTCACAAGCACAAAACCAACTCACCCTTCCTATGCTCCCAAGGTGCCAACGCTTTACAAAGTGTTTACTGCATCGTGTAACACTGTGAGCCCAGCAGCGACCTGAACAAGTACCATGCTATCTCTTTCCGTGCTAACGACGCTTTGCTCACGGACAAGGTTCTGACAGCATGACCTTGGGGTACACACTGAAGCAAGCAAGTCTTGTGAAAAAACGGGCATTAAACAAAAACATGCGGTACAACTTATGCAACATACCGAATGGCAAAATCTGAACATACGAGCTGGTTTTGTTGCAACACCTCTCGTTAAATTGCTCCCTGCACCTCTTCGATTGAACTCAATCTATGTATATTAGATGAAACAGTGAATAGATAGATAGATAGATCGATAGGTCGATAGGTCGATAGTTCGATAGATCGATCGATCGATCGATGGATGGATGGATGGATGGATGGATGGATAGATTGATTGATTGATTGATAAATAGATAGATAGACAAATAGACAAATACATCTGGTAGTCCCACCTGGACGCGCCTACGTTTTTTGCCAAATGCCAGCAGCTGACAATAACTCAATGCGACATGCTACTTTCCACCCCAGATCATGGACAACTATCAAAAGCACCTTTCACACGATCCTGAGTGCTGGAGCAGCTCTTCAAGAAATCGCTACTAGGAGCAAGGACGCTACTAGGAGCAAAGGGCATCACTACTAGGAGCAAGGACGCTACTAGGGGCTCCTGGCCTCGCGCCGCTACTAGGAACAAGGACGCTACTAGGACAACTCCTTGACCGTGCCTCTGGGGCCTTGTCGCACTGTTTGCCCCCTGGGCCCCCTGCATCACATCGTATGTTGGGTGCCATGGTGCCGCGCCAGCAGCGGCGAGTGCCGCGGCCAATGGGATTCAAACGAAGGTCCAAGTGCGTGAGGGGCCGATCGTTGTCAAGCTTGGCGACCTTGCTGGCATTGGAGCACAACTCAGCCAACACCAAGGAGCTTTGCCCGGTTTAAATTGCATGTCCTCGCTTCTGTGCAAGGTATAGGACTTAAATGGACTTAACAAGACGTTGGCATGAGGAGAAAGCCTTTGATATGCCAACGCCAACCGGATGTGGTTTTGGATGCACACCTGCCACTCACCCACCGGCTACAGGAAAGTGGACCATGTAGATCATGTAGATGGCATACGATGCAAATAGAGCCCAAAAACGGTGCAGAAAAGGCAATCCAGACAGAAAATGGTGCAGACAAATTTGTTGCTGGCATGCCATGTGAACGCATGTGTCTTTTTGCTTTATGTGGTGTGCATATGCCATCCGACCATGGCTATATACGTGTGACAATGTTCACAACAAGATGTAGGAGGAGGATCAGGAAAGAAACGAAAACACCTTTATATGTTCATATGCATCCCCCCACCCCCCCAACTCCCAACCCCCTTTAAAAAAAAACCAGACACGCCGGGGCCGCAATCACCCCCTCCCACTGCCCCACTTTTCGAAAACAAATGAATTGCATTTTCCAACAACACATGGGTCTTCTTGGAAGGGCTGCAAACCTCCGTTTCCATCAACTCGGGCAGGGCAAATTTGCAATCCTCTTGTGAAGTCCTAGCAATTTTAAGCACTTGAAGTTAGCCTCATACATTACATTACATGCTTCACATCTCGATCTGATAATTGGCGATGGCAGAACAGTTGAGGCCGCCACAAGCCTCCAAAAGGCAGCCAGATCCAATAGGCAGTCCTCAAGCACTGCTCCGTGCCAGCTCAGCCATTCTGCATCAGCGCAAAACACTACAATTTAGGTCTACAAGCGCGCGTAAGTGTTGTGCTAGCCACTTTGCTTCAACCATCGACTCAAACAGTGTACAAGCATTTCCCCAAACAGTGCCCTTCACACTTGGTGCTCTTGGGGCAATAGTTAAGCTCTGGGATTGATCGATGGTGCTCACCGGCGTAGGCAGCAAATTGGATGATCATTGCATACAGCCAAAAGCTCCCATGGAGATCTTCGAAATCCTTTTCCACTGCCCGGGTTCGCGCAAACGTGGCAGGCGCGGGAAATCGGAGCAGTTGCACTTCGAAGTGCAGCTTTCTCGGCAGGCGCAGCATTTGGACTTGGTGGTGGTCTTTGGCATGCTTTGATTTCAAGCAGTGAATCGTGAACTTTGGACATATGTTTCGCTCTCGGAATTTGGGAGAAGTATTGCGCAAACCCTTCGCTTTGGCAATTCAATCCTGTCCTTGCCAGTGCCTTTTGTTGCGAAAGGCACTGGCAAGGCTGGCTCATGCCTTTGAGGATCGCAAAGTTCAGGTTTTTTATAGGCTCCCATATGTGTGCTGTCGTGTGTGTGTGTGTGTGCTCTCGCTCTCTCCCTCTCTCTCATGATATGCTCTGATATGTGTGCTCTCTCATGCTTGTGCTCTCATATGTGTGTGCTCTCATGAGTGCTCTCTTGGGTGTCATGCTCTCATGTGTTTGTTTTCACGTGAAGGTACACTCCCTCTCATACTGTTTGTGAAGGAAAGTAGTCTTGCAAAAGGCCATTTTCCACTTCCATGTTAGTGAGTCAGAATGTATATGTGTTCTCATGTGTTTCCTCTCTACTTATATTGGTGCTCTCATATGTGTGCTCGCACACTGTTTTTTGTTCTACTGAACACTGTTTGGGGCCATTTGCCGGGAAAAGGCAGCAAAGCAAGTCTCCTGGAGCCGGAGAACGCGGAGCTTGTGCTCATCGGAACCTCAGACTGATGCAAGTTATCCCGAAAATGCATGGAGCTGGTATGCAGCAATGCTGTCATCGGGTTATATAAGTTCCTCTACTTCTTTTGGTTCAGCTTTTTGCCGCAATACTTACCTGTCTATTTCTGAAAATTACCAATATTTTTGGACCATTTTCCAGGTTATTTCCCCCACGGGCTGCCCCTATTCATTGGTCTCCTGATGTCTTTACGTTGTTCCCCGCTTCAATTTCACCTGCAGCTCCTGGCCCTCGTTGACAACCTTCTGTGCCAGTTCTTGCAACTGACAGATTCTGCCCTTGCCCCTTCTCCAATTTCAATTTCAAGCTTGTGTTCAAGCCCACACAAAACACTGCATATAGCTGAAACCACTGCATATATATATATATGCTACCCCCGTAGCTGAAACCTTCAAGCTCACGCAAAACGTTCCCCGGTCACCTGTAAAGCCCATAAAGCCCCCAATCATAACCCCACCCAGGTTATATAAATATTATACTGTCCCATCAACCCTCAACCTTTATTTAAAAAAAAAAAAAACAAACACTGCATAGACGAGATTTGTCTTGGGTGTGCCTCAATTTCAAGTTTCTTCAGTCTACAAACCTGGTAGACTGGTAGACCTTCGGTGGGGGGGGTTATAATTCAAATCTAACTAATTACAAGATTCTTTATGTGTTTTGCAAAGGGCTTCAACATGCTTCAACCAAACCATACCAAGTTTCAACGCAGCCGAATTTGACTAAGTCCCTCGTAGCACGGATGGTCAACGCTTAATATACATACTGCTGCTGCTTTCCATCATGCTAACGCCAGACTTACAATGTTGGGGTGGGATTTTGGATGCTGCTTTAAATCCAACAGGCTCACAAACTGTGATTAAGCTTGGTACCACCAACACACACTAGTAATGAGGTTTGGGAGCATCAAACGAGTCAGTCATTCCAGTGCTGCTGCAGGTCACTAGGCAGTAGTGTGACAGCTTGGAATAGCTTAGTGGCTGAAAAGCTTTGCCAGTTCCTTGGCACCAGCAGCTCCCAAGGGATTCTCCGACAAATCCAGCTCTCCTGGATCAGCGAGCTCGACAACAAGAAACACAAAATGGCAAGTGAGCGGCTTGCCTAGAGCAAGCTTGCTTTCATCGCGGCAAAGGGCACTCACCAGCTTGCCTGGAAGCTACGACGCATAGCCGACAGCATGCATGAATGGGTCTGGGTTCTGCATGCATCAACAAACATAAGTGACAAACTTTGCAGCTTGGATGCTCAATTTCTTGAAAGTTATCCTTAGAAGCGTTGGCAACTGGCAACTATTGAACAATGCGTGTGTTTTTCCTTGGTGATTTTTTTTTGCGTTTGGGGAATGTTTTGTGCGGCCGTGGTTTCTCTATAGTTCCTTCAGTGGAACTGAAAAAGGGCTATATTTAGCTGTTCCCATAATGAGTTAGTGTTGTTCATATGATGCACTTGACTTGTTCCTTAGGGAAAAGCATACAAAGCCATAAAAAAGCAAGCATAAGGCAAAAGTAACTCAAGGATTGAAAGCCAACTTACCGAAAGCAAAATCATAGAACGAAAAAGCCTTTATATACGATAGGGAATTATATATATACAGTAATACGCCACCAAAAGGACAAGAAGAAGGAAAGTAAAGGAGAAAAGCAAGGAAGAACAAACCAAGCACAAAGGGAGCACGAAAAGTACTGTAAGACAAAAGCAGCATTCACAAAGAAGCAAGGAAAAGCAAGACAAGCACAGAAGAGCAGCAAAAGCAAGAAAAGCGGGAGTAACCACAGAAAAGCAATGAGAAGCAAGGAAAGGCAGGAGAGGTCTTAGAGAACCAAGGAAAAGCAAGAAAAGCAGTAAGAAGCAGATCCAAAAAGAAACTCAAAAAAAAACAAACAACAAATCGATCTCCCTTTATATCTACTGATGGCATCCAATTCAAAGCGAAGTGTACTCCATCAGTTGCCAGGCATCGTGTTCTGGCGCAATGACAGGAATTCCAATGGACCACAGTGATCAGCAAGGCCTTCTGCAAGCTCAGCAAGCCCAGAATCCAAGATGCCGCAGCGATCCTCGTCCACGTTTTGACCCCCGCTATGTAAGTGAAAAGGAGGTCACGAGTCATTACCTTGTGGTGTCTGAGGTTGCACATTTAAAGGGCATATATGGCATATATGCACATAACCATCATAATCCTGATGAAATTGGCCCACCTTCAAGCCGCTGTCATGTGCGGCCCCTCTTGCCCACTCCAGCTTCCAATCAATCAAGCTCATCATCGAATCATCGTCATCGTCGCAAAATGATGCGCTTTGCAAGCAAGGGGCAAGTTTGACATCGATGAGAGATTTGTTCTGCGCCAGGACATTGCGCATCATCTTGGCACCAGCTGGGCCCAAGTGAACACCAGTGAAGTGCAAAGCTTGGATCTCCTGTTGCAGGTTTACTGCCCCACAAGTTTCATCCTACATGAGGAGCCACTCCTAGCGTGACAAAAACTTTGCTCTCCTTCTCTGCCTGGTGACTCATGGCATGTCTGCACCGCACCTGGTGACTTCGTAATCCTTTGCAAAGCCATTCCAGTGGGCCAGAGCCCAAATCGACATCCTCGATGCAAAGTATCCGCAGCCCAACACTCCGTTGCACCAAGAACTCCCACCTCATGGAATGCAGCAAAGCGATTATATATATACATGTATTTATTTGCATAATATTGTTTGGGTCTATATATCCTAATACCTGTAACAGTGGATGATGATTGTTTACTGACTGTTACAGGTAATAGGAGTGACAAACCCATAATTCAATCACCACGAACATCCGCGAACTCAATGCGTCCATGATCAAATCGTTTTGTCTGCGTGACCCTTCTCTCAGCATCTCTCAGCGTCCCACGTCCACAACGCATGCGTGTGAAGGTATGGTGCATCCTCTCTGGCTTCCGATGGCATGGGCAAACGCAGGGACAAGCGCCCATCCAACTCCTGCGTCGAGGGGCACGAGTGGGACTTCATGATTACAGGGGCAAACTCGTTTGAAAGTCGCCTCCATGCACGTGCGGTCTGGCAGTCAAAGGAAACAACTACAGTAAAATAGACGCCTCTGTCGGGTGCTGTCCACGTGTCCTCCAGGGTGCTGTCCACGACTCGAGCTGCAGGTTGTTGCAGGGCAAACTGCAAGTCCTTGTCTTCGTACTTGTCCTTGACAGCCACTTGCACTGAAAGCTAATTTCCCAAGCAACGAACAATGACGGCATTGAATTTGTATAATTCCAAGGCGATGCCACTATTGGCGCCTAGGATCAAATCCCAAGTAGCCACGAAGGTGCAATGCTCTCCGCGTCTCCAAGTTCAAACGCTGCTCTTGCGCATCTAGCTCCTGCGCAGCTCTTAACTTCTTGGCATAAGCTTCTATAGGTTGTTGATGTGCTAAATTGGCGCAACAAAAGCACTCTCAAAAGGCCTGAGGGCTTGTGAGGGCCTTAAGTTTCTAAGGTCTTGGAATTTCACAATTCCAAGAAGGTTGCCAATGCTTTTTTGGTGCAATGAACATGCTTAAAGTTTGTAAATATTCTTGGAATATCTAAGTCTTAAACCCCAGTATTGCATGCGTAACGCTCCGTCCTTGTGCCGGGCGTAGTACATATTTTCAGCCACATGACCTTAGGGCAAAGTGCCGTCGCCTACCGGTACAAACTGAAATGGGGTGGTGCAGTGGTGCAATTACCTTGATCATCAACCAGTTGACAAACTGGACTTGAACTTGTTGTCTTAAGGTCAGACTGGCCAAGTCCCTCATCTCATTCCGCTTCTTGACGATGGCCTTGTCCTGCGGTTCGCGCAGCAGCGCCTGCAGCTTGCTTCTTATAGAGCTGATGCGCAGTCCGTTCTTGGCACAAATCCTTAACTAAGACATGAGACACTCTCATAATAGAAGCTGGCTGAGTGAAACAGAATCGTTGAGTTTCACCACCTCTTCCAAGTCCAGCACCGCATTGCGGTAGTCCCTCATCTTCTCAAAGGCAGTAGCTCGACGGAACCATGCCTAGAGTGGGCAGCTCAATGGCCAAACAAATCTTGTCGTTAGCGATTGAGGTGTTGATACCTGAAAGTGTCAGGCAGTCTTTCCATTAACAAAGGATTCCCATGCCTCTATGACTCTACGACTCTCCAATCAATGTTTCACGGAAGCGTGCTGTCTGCATGTGTACTACTGTGTACTGGGAGAGTGCTTTGCATGTGTACTGGATGACTTTTCGTCCAGCATGGTGCAAACGGACCTTGGCAGAGCGGGCCAAAGAGAGTCGCAAAGCGTCATTGGCGGCCCTGGCAAGCACCAGGGAGGACAGAAATGCCTATATATAGAGCAAAACGAGGCAACGAGACGATTTAGTTGAGAACAAGAATTCAAAGGCAATGAATGGAAGAGCACTGGCCAGTTTCCTCTCGTGCCAGCTGCCAGACGTTTCAAAAAAATTGCTCAACAAAAGGACTGAGTTTAGGAATAGGAACAAGTCAGCTTTTTAATCCAGGAGCCCTGTAAGCCAAGCATCACGAAAGAAAACCACACAAGTTCATGAGGGACAAAAAGCCCATGAATGTGCTGAACCACATCAGAGAGACTTGCTTTCCTCATATCCCTGCAGGCCTAGAGCGTGCTTCAAAAATTGGGAGCTATGGCTATACTCCCAACAAACACCAAGAGCTAGCTACAGTTTCACTCCCTTTGCCGCACGGCACTTCATTGCCTAAATGCCACAACCAAGTTGTCCTTGACCTCAACCAGCATCATTGAGGCCTCAATCGTTGCCCGTTGTGGGGAATGTGTCGCGTTTCAACGACCATCTGACGCATTCTAATACATGTCCCTACTGTATTGCCACTCAGTGCCATGCAGGGTCTTTGCCATTTGAGCTCTTGGGTTTCAGGTCCTCCTGCTTTGATAGCGTTGATGAATGGCGAACTAGCGAACATACCATCAGTGTGCATTTCAATTTGGAATAGGAACTGGCTCCTCAGGATCTGGTTTTTCCAGCTTCCGAGAAAGATCCTGCAATGAAGGTAGCAGGACTGGGCAGCAATGGCAATGGTGAGCAGCAAAAGCGCGACAAAAAAAACAATGTTCCAAACAAAGCAAAAAAGATCAAACATGACACCCATATCCCGCTCAATTCTCCACTACTGGCCTGGCTGTATGCCAGAAGGCTGCAGGCGGAAATGTTCAAAAGCAAGGAGAGTTCGATAGCACATGCCTGCCCAGGCCACTGGACATGAAGTCATTGCATCAACTGCCTGGCCTTCGGTCACTCAGATCTCCAATGATCTCCAAGCGTTCTCCCTCTCTCTCTCTAGAGAAGACGTGACCAGTTGCCGCGAGTTGCACTTTGATTTCTGAAGGGCTTCAACCCAAAGCCGCTGCAGCCAACGAATTACGCCCCCCCAGCCTGGTAGTCCTCCTTTCTGGGGCTGCATCCCTGGCATCAAAGCCCCAAAGCCAAGCAACTACCCTGGTTTGAAAGAGAGGAAGGAAGGAAGGAAGAGAGAGAGAGTGAGTGAGTGAGTGAGTGAGTGAGTAACTGAGCTAATTCTAGTCACGTCCTTTACAGTATATACTTGCATGTGCTGTGTTGAATACATTATCTCAAAATATCTCAAAGGTATGAGAGGCATGAACGTTGCAATGATCATGCTTTGGCAACTGGCACAAAAGTGCCCTAGAAAGTGATTTTATGGAGCACACCCTTGCCTGACTCGCTGTCTCTTCGCTTTTTGCTTCAATCGCCATCCTACAAACTTGATCATGTTGGACCAACAAAAATGCAACACGCAGGAGTATGAGTGCCTCAATTTCTCAGGGAGCTCCGGCCATGGCTTAGCAGCACTGCAAAGCAGCACCTCGAAACTCTTTGTTCGGCACGATGCAAAGGAGACAAAAGTGTGGGGGCAGCCGGAAGCACCCCCACCTGTGCTTGGTTGTAGTGCAGGAAGGCAACATCCGCCTTCCCTGCTTTGAACGCTTCATTCCCTTGCTTCTTCAAGGCATCTAGCTCCTGCCCAGCACCGCCACTGAATTCTCAAGTTCGACAATTGTATTGTCAAGAGATTTGGAAAGACACAATGGCTAACAAGATTCAACAAGAAGCTACTAGTAACAAGGGCGCTACTACTAGTAGCAAGAAGCTACTAGGAACAAAGGGCATCGCCACTAGGAGCAAGAAGCTACTAGCAACAGGATGTCCACAAGGCTCTGGAATTTCGGTCCTGCTGGGTCTGGACATCCAGCCACCGGTCGAAGGGATCAAACTTGGAGATCAAACGCTGCTCCTCCTCTTCCTCTTCCACCGTCAGGGCATAGGCATACACGTCATGCAGCTCATCATCCCCTGCAACCTCCCGGCTGGCAGTATAGAGAGGACAAATGAGGCCTGTATTCCGTGGAGGTCCAAGCAGCAGGGCTTGCTTGACACTCTTGGATTGCCAGTCCCAACGATATTCCTCCAAGGCAAGCGGTCAAGTAAGAGAGTCTGGCTGCCATTGTCAAGCCAACAAGCGTGACTAATTTATGTATTTACATATGAGCGTGTACGTATAATTATATATATATTATATCTTGGGTACAATGGCCTGACCCTCAGTGTCAGAGTGTCAATGCCTGAAAGATTGCCCGAATGAAATGTGTTTGTCTCGCCCAGTTGGTTCAGAACATCTTCATTCCCCGTGTGTTGGCGCTGCACGACTGGCACGAACGTCCTGGATCATCTGCCTTGCAGGTTCGACCAGGCCGTCCTTGTTGAAGATCATGCCACCGCCCTTGTGAATTCCCAAAATGACAACTCCAGCACCACCAAACTGCTCCACCAGTTCTTCCATATCCGTGCCGTCTTCCGGGGCCACGATGTGCGGGAAAATGCACCAGCCTCATTAGTGAGGCCACGAGCCCCTAAGTAGCGTCCTTGCTCCTAGCGGTAAGGCCAGGAGCCCCTAGTAGCGTCCTTATTGGCCAGCTCCTTCAGTTCATCCTGTGTTTGTCTTTGTCGAGCAGTTTTGCCGAGATGCCTTTGAAAGGGATTGCTACGTCGTTGGACCAATACCAGGACTTCTCCCCCAGCAACGTCATAGATTCCCCGACTGCAATGACCACAGCACCTACGAGTCCAGAGTTTTTCTTTTGGGATCATGTGGGTATTTGATGGTATTTGCTTGCTCCCCCAAACTGGCCTTTCGAAAGGAGTGCATTTCATTATATTGCACTACCAGAAAGCAATGCACCTTCCTGCTGCCTGTGTGTGGGCCAAGCGACTTCGATCTAGTTTGAGAAGCCCCTCATTCGTTCGCAAAGCGCCCCGGGAGCGCCCAAAAAAGGAAAAACCACGATGAACATAGGCCGTAGCACCGAATCTGGCCCCGCCACCCCGTCGGTGCCACCTTGTAAGTAGCGCCACTTGACGTGTTCTGCCACCTCGCTTCCACCCAGGTCTGTACCGAGGGTCTCCCATAGGCGCTTGCGCTCACCCCGGTCCAGGAAGATCAGGTCAGATTGCTCCAAATGTGCCAACTCAAAGCCTCAACAGTAACACTTGGTTTGATAAACCATGGGCTATTGCGATTTCACCGATGTCTGCTTTTTCCGGGATGGCCCATTCTGTTGTTAGCAAGAGTTTGTTCTTCCAAATGTGTAGAAAAACATAAAAAAAAACTACCAAGTTCTGCGAGCATCGAATCTCACACTAAAAAAATTTTTAATCGCCGGACACAGCAGCAAAGCCGGCGCTTGCATTTCTACGCAGCAACAGGACCGTCATGTGACACAAAAACACATGTGCGCAATGAAATCCAAGGTTGCTTTTGGGGTCCGCTGCTGTATTCCACATTGTGCACAGTACCCCTGCGCATGTACACAAGAAGGAGGATTCACTCCCTTGCTTCACTCAATGAAGCAATAGCTACGCACAATATTGGTCAGTTTTGCACAATGTATATAATATATAACTATAATTATGGAGCATACTGCCACACACACACGCCAAACAATATCACAGTCACATGTACACAACAAGTATTGCTTGAATACTGGCTTGGGTTGGGCACGACTGGCAGATCTCAGTAGTGATAGAGTCTGATAAAGTCTAGTTGGTGGCCGGTCACACGAGACCAACAAATACAAAGAACCAGAACACACAAAAAAAACAATGACCACAAATCTCATGACTGAAAAAAAGGCATGATGACCTGACGGTAACTGAACCGAAACGCCACAAGCGCTGTTGAACTGATACTCTCGTCAAGGCCGGCAGCAAAAGATCACGGCCTTTATCACTATGGTCTGGCGACCCACTGGTACATCCTGCATAAGGATGCCTTGACGGCATGTGGCTTTGAGGTGGTCCAAGGCCTCGTACAGCCTCTTGTACATGCTTCACTTCTGTTTCTTGTCCATGATTGCTCAGGCTGACGATGGGAGCAATCTCTGGACGAGCTTGAGTGGCTGCCCATTGAAGACTGGAACTCAGCTGGGGTGAGCTTGGGATCTTCCATCTTTCTCCCTTTTCGCACGACTTCTGGGTTCAGGGTCTCAATGAAACTTGGCATAGAAATGTCAAGGACACACCGCTTCTTCTCATTGAGCTTCAGCTCCAAAGTCTTGTCCTTGAAGGTCACAGAGACGTTGAGCTCGATGTTGCTGACGCTTCCCCATTTGAACTTGTTCCAGACCTCTTCGATCTTATAGTCGCTTCTGTGCACTCCAATGAAGTCATCAACGTAGATCATAATGATGGAAACAACTTCGGAGTGGTCATTGACCTTGTAGAAGAGCATTGGATCGAAGGAGCGCCGCTGGTAGGACACCTTAGAGAGTCGGTCGATGATCTCGGTGGCCCACAAGTGAGGCGCTTAGGCAAGCCGTAGACGTTGCCGGTGATCTGGTACAATGGAGCCTTCCACCGATTAGTTTTCTCAATGAGGCCATCAACTGGAGGCCGCATGTAAAGTGGAAGTGGTCCCTCGGCATCTTTCTGCCTGCCCTGAAGGAACGCGGTCGCTGCGTCATCAAGCCATGCTTTCCATGAGTGGGAAGTGCCAAACAGTTCACACTTGTGACCTGCCACGATCATGGCGTAGACCAGTCGTCCATGTCACTCTTCCTGGCGTAGGAGAGCTCCTGGTGAGGTTGAACAAGTCTGGGTTGTCATGTCCCAAGCAAAACCACTCTGCATTTTGCTTTGATCTCTCCCTGTCCAAGATTCTTGTCTCTGTAGAGAGCACGGGATCGAAGCACCCGGAACTTCAACAACTTGTCCCGGTACACTGCGATCTCCACTCTTCCCAAGAAGCAGCTTCTTTCTCAATGAAGCCAGGTCTTTGTCAACGATTGCCGGTGGCATGGCGAGGATCTGACGCCAGGGGATCTCTCGATCCAATTCCTTCGCCTCCTGTCTTGTCATCGTCTTAGGAGGTGGCTTGTTGTTGCTTGGTGTTTGCTCCTTCTCCTCTGCTTCTCAGTCCTGTGTGGAGTCGGACTCATTAGGGCCTTTGCGTGCGCCATCCACATGTCGTTGGTGTGTGGAGGCGTATGCCTGGAAAAAAGTATTTGCTTGCTGGTCCCTAGGATAGCAGTGGTGGTGAGCCATCCCATGAAGTGGCTGCCCGTGAGATGCGGCCATCTTCATCGAACCATAGTGTTGTGAGTGTGTCAAAGGTGCTTCTGTGGAAGAACAGGAAGGGGTTCATCTTCCCTATATAGTGCTCTGTTCATGCTCTGTGTGCTCCAAGTGTGTTTTCGCATCCGCCCGTGGTGGATGCGCTTCTGGTGCAATAGCCTGTAGTGTGTGCTCATCTGCTTGTGAGTCTGCTGCTGCCACGTGTATGCCTGCTTGTGAGTGTTCCACAGTCGGTTGTTCAACCTCGTGGATGGAATCAGAGGGGACGTGCAATCCGGGAGGATTTTGAACGGGACACTCAGGGACACTCTCAAGGACAGTCAAGCCACCAAGTTCGAGGCAGCCACTCAAAGACACTCAAGGATGTCCTTGAGTGTCCTTGAGTGTCTGGTCTATATCTTGGATAACCTTGAGTGTCCTTGAGCGTCCTTGAGTGTCTGGTCTTTTTGGATAACTTTGAATGTCGTTGGGCCATTGGGTGTCTAGTTTTTTTTGAATGACGTTGAGTGTCCTGAAGTGTCCTGGAGTGTCTGGTCTATTTTTTCGATGATCTTGAGCGTCCTTGGGCGTCGTCTAGTTTTTTTTAGATGACCCTGAGTGTCCTTGAGCGTCTTGAGTGTTTGCTTGTGTCCTGGCTCAGACTTGTTTAAGTGTCTTCAAGTCTCCTCTGTTCTGAGGACTTTTTTTGAAGTTTCCCTGGATGTCCTTAGTGTCTATAGTCTACACTTTTATGTTTCTGGCGGCCCTGTTTCTGGCGTCCCTAGCTGTGAGGGTAGAGAAACTTTGTGGAAGGTCCGGTCATTCGTGGAACCCTTGCCTATTCACACAGCATTCGTGGAATTCTGGATCCTTAGGAATACAAGCTCCAACAAAAACTGACAAAAACTGGGAAACCTTCGCAGGACTTAGTGGCAAGCTTTTTGGGATAATGCACTAGCCTTATGAGGATATTTTGCGCTCTCCCTATTTCCGCACACACAAACCCTCCATTGTGGGAGAGCAATGGTATCCCATCGCTGCTGGATATGCCGTGGCTCACGCACGGATCCGGATATAAGGTAGAGAAAGCTCATAGAAACTTAAGGACACGCTCCATTGAGGACAAGTGAATGAAACCTGAAAGTTTTGGCACACCCTAGCTCTTGAAGTCAGCAGTGCGATCGTAGCTGTTCCTGGGCCAGGAGCAGACGCAGTCTGGGAGCCAAGTGCAAGGAGGGCTGGCGTTTGTTGGTTGAGTGCCGGTCACACATGCAGTGATAGCAAGAAGACCAATCACAGCAAAATCGCCAATAGAAAATAGCCTCGTGAGCTTGTGGTTCTGTCGCATGGACCCGATGTTACAGACATTGTGTATCCAAACAACGCACCTAACCTGGATACATGCTTGGCTGCAGAGATAGCAAGAAAATGCATCAAGTCGAAATAAGAGATGCCTTGGGTCCCACGCAACCTTGAAAATGGCCCTGTAAGGTTGTGGTTCTTTTCGTGGTGTTCTGCAAGTGTTCCTTCTGGGGCCGTTTTCGATCCAACACCAGACCTCACTGTAAGGATTATTTACAGACGCCGGGTACCCAAACAGCAAACAACAAATACAATACACATCCACTTGCCTGGATATGGATGCGCTGTTGCTGTTGGAGGAATCACTGGACCTTATTGCGCGCGCAACAGTGAGGTAACAGGAGTTACATGTGGGACGTCTACCTCGAAGCGTGGAGAAACCAACCTTGATTCATCCCATTTTCTGTTTTGTTGGTCACACATTGCAAAAGGCGTGCTCTGACCCACTCCTTACACTCTACCTGAGGACATTTGGCTCGCGCAAACTGCCATCGGGAAGGTTGTAGCAAGGGCTCGCCTTGTGGCGGTGCATGGCTTGGACGAGCAGAATATCCGAAGCATGGGAGAAGCAACGCGAGAGCAACATAGAAGACAGACTAAGCTATACAACTCCTCACTTATGGGAACTCCGCAACTTAGAACGGCTGTCCGAGTCTTGGGAGATACCTGCTTGGCTGTGCGCAATGGATTCCAGCCCGACGCTACAGACGCAAGCGCCCCAACTTCCAACAGCGCCAAAGCCTGGCCCAAGCGATTCCCCCGAAAGCCGCGGGCAGATGGCAGAAAGCCGAATATCCCAAAAGAATTGTTGCTGTCGCAAAGAAGACCCAAAAAGAGCAAGAAGGTGAAGCGCCCCAACCGTAACGCCCCAGCTACCTTTGCCAATGTCGACTCTGCTGATCGAGGAAGGCAATGCGTCGACGCCGCCAAAAGGCTGAGCAGGTGTGCAACTTACCAAGGAAATCTTTGCTACATCATTTCCATCTTCAAGCGTAGAAATGTAGCCATCATGGCAGATGTTCTTCCACTGCAGCGGGCGCAGAACGACTTTACCGCGACAGCGACCCGAGCAGACGCGCAAACCTGTTGCCAGAAGGACTTGCATGATATTGGAAAGACATGTGTCCAGCTCCAAAAACGCAATCTCAGAAAAGGTCGACTTTTTTCCGGGTCATCCCTCCTCACTTAGATGGGCATGCTGCTGATGAGCGGAGTTGCCAAGTCCACTTCGGCCCCCTGCAGTCAGGTGACCCTTTGCCTGTTCGCAAGACATTCGGTGGAGAAACCATCCGCGTTGAACCGCTAGCCGCCCAGGAGCACAAGAGCCTCCTGATTGAAGGCTGCTGGCATCAAGCGGTTGCACCTTAGCGTGTGTGTGTGGGCACACAGCCACTGATGCATGTTGATGTGATTCTCCGCGTTGCTCGAAAAATGTTTACCGTATATGATGCTTTGCTCATAGGAAGGAATCCGGCGAGTCCATTGCTCCAAGGAAGGGCGGAACCAAAGAATGATTTGCCAGTGTTTTTTGTGACTTGAGAAAAGTATATATATATATCTTTT